CACAGGAATGATTGATTCTAGGCAAAACATGATTTCCCGGAGGCGCGGAAGCCTATGTCAGAACCACGATCAGCACCATGTGCATCAATCGTGGAATGCCACTGCTTACGAACAGGGCAAAGGCAGTAAGAACTCACGGAACAGCATTTACAAACCCCTACAGAAGCGCGCATAACTACATAATTATATACATACATGCGTACATAAATACATACATACATACAGACATACATACATACATACATACACAAATACATGTAGCCCTGCCCAAAAAGTCACCACCGCCTCCTTGAAGGGGCCCACTTGCTCGTGTAGCAGCTTGATTGTCTCCCGCAGGCGCGCTTTGGTGCCCAATGTAAGCCGAGTCTTCAGATACCTTGGCTTGTTGCCACCTTCTTAAGGGCTCATCTCTTACATACAAGCTGAGGGCGGTCTTCACAGCTCCAGGGCTTCCACTCTGGCTTAACCCTCGGGATGGCTGCATGCTGTGGGCTAGGGGCTGTGCTGACGTCGGCTTTGTTGCATCTTGACTTTGCTAGCCTCAGACGCTCGTCGGCAACCTGGACCCAAGTCTACAAAGTTTTAGATTTGATGTGTCTCTTCCCTATGTCTCAAAACACCCATGTTGGCTTGTTCTACAGAACCTCAGGTCTGCAATGGTCTCCAAGCCCCAAAGACCCGCTGGCATTTCCATAGATGTGCCTCAACAATTAGAATGAGGTTTGTGGGTATACTATGATACTAATATTACCAGAAACCCGAACAAAGTCAAAAATATAGGCAATCATTTAGACTATGAGCCTTCCGGCTCAAGAGTTTCAAGGCAAGCCAGGTCACTCCAGCCGGGCCAGCCCCACCTTGCAGTTGCAAACAGGAAGGGGCCCCAATAGAGGCTAGAAACGAGCGGATCCTTGTTCCTTTGTTAACCTAGAGACCACGACATAAGTATCCCCTTACATCCTAAATCCTAAACCCCACTTTTGAGACCCACCTGCACTTTGGCCTGCGGCGTGCGGGCTCGTAGGCTGAAGATCTCCAGTACCTCCGTGGGCTTAGGGCCTTCAGAATCAGCATAAGGTTTGAAGTAGATAAACATCTCACTACAAGAATGAGGAAACCCTAAAGTACAGCTTTGGTAAATATTCAGGCTGCTATGCTGCTTCTGCTCCTCCCACGCCCCGTTTTTGTTGGCAGGGGTTCAGAGCCCCGGGCCCCCCCAAACAGGGGAGATTGAGTCAAAGCTGTCAGCGATTCAAGCTGGAGAACCGGCCTCAAGATTTTTCCGAGGGAGTACTACAGGAACTCTTGACGAGGAACACTTAAAAGCAGCCCAGTTCTGATTAGGTGTATAAGAGCTATTACAACAGATGTCAAGAACATAAACTTTGCATCAAAACTAGGGTTTAGTTAGGACTTGGGTGAGGGTTAGGCCGGGTAGACCAGCCCGAGAAAAATGGCTGCATAATTGTTTGTCACACTAGTGCTTTGATCTTAATCGATCTAGTTTTCACTGGGCTTGTCATCGTTTTGTGAATTGAGGCCAAACCTCAATGTCGTCGTCTCGTCTCTCCGTCTCTATGTCTCATCCAACGGGATTCCAATGCGTCATACCTACACCAGTACGCAAGTATGCATACGACAGCACTCGATGACCAGTCCATACCGCCCGCAATCATCACCGACGCGACTTCGATGTGAACCTAATGCTGTCACTGCTCTTCATGGGGCAGTTGCACTTCGTTGTACCTGCCACCTGGTCTGAGCTTCCGGCCATTTGACAGCTCTGTGGAAATTGAATTATCAGTGAAAACGATAGTTCTCAACTGGACACCCTGCTGCTGCGCACAGGAAGTTTCACTCTATCAGAACTTGAATTTCGTGAACACCCTGAGACTTCTTTAACATGGTCATCTGTATCTGCTCCGAGTCGCCAAGCGGTTGCGGTCAATGACCTGCACAAGGCACTACGACGTCACTACGATACACTATGCTGCAGTTTGAAGATTGAAGCAAGGGAACCTTCCGGGTTTGCTCAGCATTGTATCAGCATCCGAATGGACCCAGAGCGCGGGGTGTCAAACTTTAGGAACTTTAGGTAGCCTCCCAACGCTGCAGGTTGCTGGGTTGACCTCCTCCCGAAAACCCAGCACTGCCTCTACAGAGGCCTTGCTGCCCCCTTTTGGGACTGCCAGGCCCTGCTCACGCCGCTCGTTCGCGTCCCCTGCTGCCACGGCATTGTTAAATACCTGGACACGTTCTTGATTTTTCAGGTTTCGCATTTGCTATGACATGCAGTTTGAACAGTTGGGGCCAATGAGATTGTGCAGCAGCACTCAGAAAGCAGCTTCACTGAGAAACATGTGATTTGGCATGCCATATGTGCATAGTTTGCTTTTTGCTCGGCTAGTTAGGCTAGTTTGAACAAGGCCAGAGCTGGGCGTGGAAGTATACATGCCAGACTACTCTGCAGCACCGTCGAATGTGATCAATGGAAACGTCGAGGTTTGTCTGGCGTGAGCTTCGAGCTTCGGGAAGGACCGTCCGCAAAGTTGGTCAACATCACCCATTCAAGACGCCAGGCTGGACCGAGCCGAAACATGCACACACCCATGTTCAAACCACGCGACGACTCCAACACTGAGCCGACAAAGCTTCAACACTCAGTCGCAGGATCTCTTGCTTCCGTCCGAGCGCTGACACAAAAGCGTATCAGCAACTTTAGGCGAGCTTCTGTCTCCAGATTGCGCGTCTGGTTCGGTGTCAGCGTCGTGTTGATGAAGACATAGCTACATGGATTCTCGGCCAGGTACAACGCCAGCTCTGTGACCTTGCCCTTGCCGAAGAAGGTGTTGGGATCTATCTGCCGAACCTTCTGGATGCATGTCTCGGCCCATTGTCTCTTCACCTTGCCGTTCTTCCACGCCGCTTCATGAATGTCATACTCGTCATCGCTCTCCTGCGCTGACATGAAGGGGCTACCCTTCCACCACATGCGTGGTTCTGACCATGACTCGCGGTGTAACAGTCCCTGAACCTTAAACCCTAAAGATCCTTCCCAAAAGGTGATACCTCGAGCTTGCCCTACTCAATATGGGGGCCTGAACAATTAAATTGGAATATGGTTTTGGGCTAGTTTTGTTGTAATGATATAAGGCCACAAAAGACTTTTTTGGAACCCAGTAGTACCATCTATGGTCTCCTCCTCTCCGCGGTCGAGGTGCCAGCCTTTCCAACACAGCTCGGAGCACGGACATCTTAACGGCTTGAAGTGCCGCCGTATACGGTTTTGACTCGCGCACACCATATTTTTTTGGATTTTTGCCTTCCACCTACATTGGCCTTGGACAAGCCCGCATTGCAGGGTTCAGCTGGGAGCATAAAGTCTGGGCGATAAAGCTTCACATGGCCATCGCAAAATTCATCAACTACCTACAGCCATAGCTGTTACAGCACCCGAAGCAGCAATCAGCTCGAAGGCACATGTCGACTCAGAGCCAAGTGTTCCAACTCAATCCGACACAGGCTGCTCAGTTTCCCTCTTGAAATCATGACAATGCAGTCTACCGCCACAGACAAAGAGGCACTCACTCAATGCATCGCCCTCCAGTCCAGAAATCAAACCTTATACACCCGCATACGGTTTAGGGTTTCGACTCTATGGCTTCCGGGGTTCATATGAGTCTCAGGCACTACTAGTACTTAGTAGGGCTTAGAAAACAGACCTGGAAAGCGCCAAAGCCTGAAGCTCCAAGCGCTGAGACCCTGAAAAGCAGCCACCCCTCCTGACCCATATGTTCATATATATACATATATATATATAAGCACGCATACAGACGCCCACATATACACGTACATATACATATACAGTCGCATATGCATATGCATATGCATGCATGCGTATTTGTATACATACACACAAACATATATATATATATCATGTGTGTGTATATGTATGTAGGCATACATAATTGATTAGATAACAGAGAGAAAGAAACATAAAGAGAGAAAGAGAGAAAAGAGACAGAGAACGACAGAGATAGAGAGAGAGAAAGAAACAAAAAAAACGTACGCAACGTGCGTGCGCGAGTGAGCGAGAGAGTGACCCATTGTCGGAGCCTTCGGGCGCAGACCAGGCACCTGAGGCCTGGCGTCGAAGCAGGTCCTTGCGAGATTTTGTGGATCTCTGTTTCAGGGCTTTTCTCCCAACCCGCCCAGCTGTTTCGGGGCTTTAGGACTTGAGCTTTACGGGCTTTGTTCCCTCCTACTAAGCAAGGACTTGCCGGCAACACAGGGTACGTTCGGATCGTGGCAGATGCACAGCAGAAGAGCATAGCACCATCAAAGGATGCCAAGCGTCAAGGGTTTAGGCTTGAGGGTTTGCCTTTAGGTCTTCACTTGAAAACTTATGTTTTATTCGTTAGTTCTGACACCCAGGGATTGAGAAGGTCTGATTGGGCTCTTTGTTGTCAGGGTGGAGTTTAAGGTTAAAGTTTTAGGTTTGGAGACAGATAACACACACACACACAGGTAGATAAGTTAAGGGCAAACAAAATAAAGCTAAGATAAGATACTGTCCCCCTTCCCCCCCGTGACGTTGTGCGGGTTTGGGTTTGCTTGTGGTGGGTCACCCCTGCGTGTTTGGGTGGGGAAGTGTCTTCGTGAGCTTGTTCAGAAGCCTTAACGTGTTGCAGGGGCACAGCACCAAGCCCGTGGCAGCACACCCTACTCGGGTAACTATGCCTGTTCGAGGATTGAACAGGGGGTTGCTGTCGATTTTCTTCATCTTGCTTTTGCCCCACAGGAATGATTGAGATGATTCTTCGGAGGATCCTGCCTCAGGCATCCTTGCGGAAGATGCTTGGGGTGTTTGGGAAGAAATCCTCGTGACATCTGACGGTTTTGGAGCTGCCAAAGGGAAGAAGTTCGCACAGTCACAGGGATTTGGTCTGTNNGGGGGGGGGGGGGGGGGGGGCACGTTGCTGGCAACCACCGCGAATCCAGGAGCTTTGGGCGAGGAGCCAGCTTTGTGGGACGACCCAGCCACAGCCAACACAGCGCTTGGGCTACTATTGCAGTGCAGGTGGATGCAACAGTGGAGCTTATGGAGTTGAGACTGAAAGTGTGACTCAGCTAAAATTTCAAGCTCACAAATTTCCACGTGACCCCGTTCTCTCTGTCGCTCGCACGACTCGGACTTCCAGCATGAACTCCCGAAGCTCCTTCCTGCTCCAGGTCACTTAAGCTCATAGTTTTTGAGAGGCTGGACTTCTCTGCCTGCCTTGATTTCCTTCAACCCCTGAACCCTGAACCCCACTCAGCACAAGCCACAGAATGGTTGGCGCCTTTCAACAGCTTTACTGGATACCTGCGGTTTATGAGAACGACACCTTGCACCTTGAAGTCCTAAGATCCTAAGGCCCTAAGAGCCTGAACCCGAAGAGTGCTAAAGCCCGTCAGGCCTTGAAGCCTTGCACCCGAAGAAACCAAGCTGCTTAGGCCAAACGACTTCTGCCTCAGCAGCCGCAAAAGCCTTGCCGAGAAAGGTACGGCTTAGCGCAAGACATCACGAAGGACTTAGAGCTTCTTAACTTCGTGGGGCTATGGGTTGCTTTGCCTCCTGCATAGCCAGGATGCTACGCACCCTTCGATAGTTGCCGCTGGAGTTTTTTGGAGTTTCAGGTTATGGAGATTTCTGTGTTCAGGGTTTGCGAATCCCACAGATGGATTAAAGGTTCAGGGTGCAGGGTTTTGGTAGTGATTGCTCTGTTCGCTCAGCTAGAGCGTAGAATGCGGGGCACAGCCGGTTTGGGGCTCGTCGTGCGGACATCGCGAAACTATACAATGATAGCATTTGCAGGGGCTCTTTACTACCCGCAGCGTATAGACAGAACAAGCGAGCTGTTTGCCTCACACCGCCATTGGTGATGAGATCTATGCCCCGAAGAGCGGACAAAGCAGAATCTTTTCCAAAAAACCTCAGGTCCCCAAAATCCACAACCACCTCAAACCCCAAAGCCTCAACCCTAAATGCGTACTAAACCCTAAAACCCGAGCCCTAAAGCTTAGAGACTGCCCTGACCTCCTTGCTTCCAAGGGCCTCATGGTCCCAGCCCCCAGCAGGTTCGCCGTTTGGCCCTTTCTAGGACCGTTGTTTTTGGTTGTGGGAACTCAAACTTGGTGGGCGTCGCTTCGCTGTCTTGGGCAGACCACTTCTCGCTGCAAACCATAGCATCTTGGTTTTTCTGTTGCTGAAATGTCCCCGTGTGATTTTGCTCGAACATACAGATGCCACATGCCACGGTGCCTCGCTCGCGAGTCCCTCCCGTGACCGACCCAGCTCAAACCCCAAGCTCTAGGCGAAACTTCAGAAAGTTGGAACAGGGGTTCAGGATGATCACCGCTGAAACTTTCTGTACGTTGCTGTCTAAACTCAGCGAACCGGCTCGCCCGGCACCCTGGGAACAGAGCCCACCTGGCAGCAGATCCCATCGGTTGGCCCTCGCTAGGCCCAGTGCCTTCGAAAGAATGCATACGGAGAATAACGTAACATAATATCTAGAGTATATTATAGAAGTATATCACTATATAATTTATATAATGCGAATCTATAACATATATGACATACGATACGCAACATATGAGATCTACAGGTGGGGTTTAAGCGTTTTTGGATTTCCCTTTTCATAGACCTCCTGCTTCGCAAGAACGAGACGCATGGACAGGAATTTTAGGAATTCTAGGCTTGGGGTTTCAAGCGATACTGCCTTCCCCTTCCTCTGGCAGGAACTGCGACAGGCTACTTTTACTTTTATCTACCTACGTTGCATGGCTCGCTTGATGAGCCCGGGCAGCTCCAGTAGGTGAGAAGCCTTAAACACTAAGACTCTAAGCCCTAAACTTTGCCCTGGGATCTATAGATCCTTGAGAAGGGCTCTTGGAGGGCGTACGGCTAGAACAGAAGCTGCCCAAGCTGTTTTCCTCTTCGAGCGAGGGCTGCCAGTTTGTAGCAATGGAGTCATGCCTTGTGGGGGTGCGTTCACGTCGCAATGTCATTTCCCGATGGTCCCTCGATCCTCGATGACATCTGACCAGATACAGTTTCCGCCGTTTCGCATGTGGTGTAGACTAGGCGCTGTCAAAGGCTACATCCTCTGATGTCTGGGATCCAGGCCTCCTCAGCATCCCAAAGGATTTGCTGCCAAGGTTTCCCCCAGCCGGCAGCGCCGGCCGTCAGAACGGGATGGATGACCACCTCATGCGGGTACGAGTGTGTTGTCAAGGCTGCAAGAAGCAACAATAGCAGCGGAGCATTCCCAGCAAATCTGATCCGGGGCACGGCTTGTGGCTTCGGGCCGTGCAAGCGGAAGGCCAGGGTGTCCTGGTGCGCGAAGGTGACCCAATGCGTGTCCCAGAACCAGCACGGAAACACAAAGCTGACCACGATCTTAGATGACGACCCCACGACCACGACCAGGACGACGGCGACGGCGACGCCAACGACGACGGCAGCAGCATCACCACCATCACCATCTTCTTCTTCATGTTCACAAGCAGCAGCATCACCACCAGTATCGTTATCTTTATCTGCATCTTCATCTTCTGCATCTTCTTCTTCATCATCATCATCATCAGCAAACATCATCGCAATCGGCATCGTCACTTGACCTCTGTGTTAATTGCAGGGTCTGAAGACGCCTATGAGTTGCAACATATGCTGTGCGAAGCCCCAAACCCTAAGACTCGGTCCTAAACCCCAGCCCTGCGTCCTCGTACGAGAAGTGCCGCCGGCCGACAACCGACAACCGCCAAGTGGTGCAGCGAAGGCCAAGCACAGCTCGCATTTGGGTTTGTGCTCGAGGCTGTCTACTAAACTCAGGCCCTTTATCCGAGGGTAGGTCATTGATGTTCTTTGTGGAAAATGCCTCCCAGACTGCAGCGAAGCTTGCGGTTTCCAGCTGCAAGCAACGATGCCCGAGCGCGGCCGGGCCTAATGTGATGCACAGCTGTCGTTGCTGTAAGCGTCGGGCGGACATCTTTCGAGCACTTTGTAGTGACACAAGTCTTGTACGGGTCTTGCATGAGTCTTGTGCCTACCTGCAGCAGTCTGTCCTAGTGCATGCTTCAACGATTGATCCGGAGCAGCGGCGGTTAGACCATGGCCATGATATGCTGCATGAAGCATGTTCTGTTCACAGGCAGCCTAAGAGGCGAACGACAGAATGAGAACCATCCGAAAAAGGAACAATGGCAATGATGAGCATAAGAACCATGATCGCTGATCTGCTCCCTCGCTCTGGCTTGCTG